TTTCGTCGCGCTGTGATGACGTCAAACGCGCGCTTTTGTCGAGCGCGATTTTGTCCTCCGCGGTTTTGTGGTGGAACCTAATTTTTAAGTCGGGCCTTTTCAAACCTCCTCTTTCGCGTACATCTTGCATTATTTTAAGTTTCATTCTCGGCTTCTTCCCGGACCAAACGAAGTTATTAATACCTTTCTGCCGTTCTTCCAAATTTGCATCTTTTTTTTTGAGTATTGGCGTGATTTGAAAAAAAGAAATAGAAACTTAGGCAAAACACGGCAGATATATCCTCATTGTACCCAGGGAGAGAGAGAACTACTATCTGCCTCTACCCAGGATTGAACTCACAGCCTCCTGATAGGGAGGCGAGAGCTCCATCTCGCCACTCTACATCAAGGCAACAATATTAAAGGGGAGGAGGGGAGAGGATGGGAGACCACCAGGAAATCCCAACCCCGTAAACGAGATGGAAAACTCAAAAAAAGCCTTTGATATCTTATTATCCGGTTTTGGAGAGGCTTTTCCATCTGGTTTATAGGGGTTTGGGATTTCCTGGTGGTCTCCCATCCTTAGATCAAGCCACTCACCTCCTGCTGCTCCATCATTCTGCTCAAACTTTGGGAAAACTTTTCCAGGCACTCCTGGATGGGGGGGAAAAAGGCATTAAATCAAGAAATGAACATCGGAATGAGGGATTAATAATTACTTGAAACCTCAGGGGGTTTTGGGGTCTTTCTGGTGTTCGGTTCGAGTCCAACGGACGTCAACCCGACTTGGGATTTTTTTCCTCGTGGGCTGGACTACAACTCCCATCAACACCCAGGCGACAGGGCCAAATTGAGCAACCGGATTCGTCGTTTGGGAACTTCCGGCCAGGCCCAACTGAGGCCAGGTGCCAGGCGCTTTGCACACGCTCAGAGGCAGAGCGGGGGCCACGCAGGAGGAATTGTGCCCTCAAAGGACGTTGACTTTCACAAACCAGACAAAAACACACAAAACACACAAACGCGCAACATACAAACGCACAGACACACAAAACAAAGACAAATACGCAAAACACATAAAACACAAAACTGACAAACACACAAAGCACACAAGCACACAAAATACACAAACACACAAAACAGACAAACACCCAAAATACAAACACACATAAAACAGATAAAGACAAACACACAAAACACATAAACACACAAAACAGACAATCACACAAAACAAACACACAAAACAAACACACAAAATACACAAACACACAAAACAGACAAATACACAAAACACATAAAAACACAAAACTGACAAAGCACACAAGCACACAAAATACACAAACACACAAAACAGACAAACACCCAAAATACAAACACACATAAAACAGATAAAGACAAACACACAAAACACATAAACACACAAAACAGACAATCACACAAAACAAACACACAAAACAAACACACAAAATACACAAACACACAAAACAGACAAAGACAAACACACAAAACAGACAAAT